CAGCTCACAGCAACCTCCAACTCCTAGGCTCAAGCGAGTCTCCTGCCTCAGCCTCCCAAGTAGCTGGGACCACAGGCGCCTGCCACAACGCCTGGCTATTTTTTGGTCGCAGCCATCATTGTTGTTTGGTGGGCCCTGATTGGATTCGAACCTGCCACCTTGGGTGTACATGGCTGGCACCTTAGCCACTTGAGCCACAGGCGCCGAGCCTATAAATCCTTTTTTAGGTCAACTTTTTTGCTATAATATGCCAAATTGTTAGAGCATATATTTTTAGACGATAAGAAATAATTATATTTTTGTGAATTAATAATTTCTTTTTCTCTCTTTTTTTTAATCAATTGAAGACAGGAGTGAATGTACAAAACATCCATCTGGGAATAACTTAATTTCACCAGATACAGACTACAGAGCTGGTTCTTCACTTGAACTCTCTCCCTCTGATAGTTCTGATGGAACATACATGTGGGATGAAGAGGGCTTGGAACCTATTGGAAATGTCCATCCAGTTGGGAGCTATGAGTCTTCTGAAATGAACAGCATAGTATGTATGAATTTATATACTCTTGGAACAGTTGTTTCCCTTACTATAGAGAGACTTATGATATTGATTGGATTTTTAAAAATTTTATAAATTAACTTTACTAGTTAGAGAAATGGGAATCTGAATCTGTTAAGGGCCTATAAAGTATCTGACCCTAGTATGGGAAATATAACCTTTGACTTAAATATATACCCTATTCATCATATATACATAAATATGTACTTACTGTATTGGTTAGTTTAAGCTATACCAGTCATTCCTAAAGACAGGGAAGAGGCCAGTGTCTGGAGACAATTTTGATTGTCACATTGACAAGCATTACTTGGCATCTAATGTATGGAAGCCATAGATGCTGCTTAGCATCTTATATCACACAGGATACAGCTCACAGTGAAGACTTATACAACCTAAGATGGCACTAGTGCCACTTTTTATTACTTGTTGAGGTAATTTTGATGTGACAGCTCCTAGTGGCTTAACACAGTAAAAGTTTATTTTTTTACTCTTAGAAAGTCTATTGCAGGTCTGGACAGCTGTCTGGGGCTGCTGTCTTTTTTTTTTTTTTTTGCAGTTTTGGCAGGGAATGGGCTTGAACCCTCCACTCCTGGTATATGGGGCCGGCACCCTACTCCTTGAGCCACATGCACCACTGGCAGCTGTCTTTAGTGATATCAGCAGCTTTGATTTTGGGGCTTGGCCATTGTTTGAGGCCCCTTTTTGTCACTGTGGCAGGAAAAGAGAGTACCAAACCATCTTATACATGCAGTTACTTAAGTTAGCCTGCAAGTGGCACATAGCACTTTTAGTCACAGTCTGTTGATGAGGACTAATCATGTGGTCCCATGTTAAGTACTAAGGGGTCAGGAAGTGTAACCTGTGTGCTTTAATGGTGAGAGAACTGAGTATAGATGAGTGCTAGAAGACCTACTATACCTTTATAAGTGCATAGATTAAGAAATATTGCAATAATGCAAATAATATGTCATATTAGTAAAGTGTAACTGGGGTATTTCAAGTGATTCATTGGGATTTATTCAGTATATAAAATATATTAGAACCTCTGTAAGTTGACTACCCTAGGGACTGTAACAAACTGGTCAACATATGGAGGTGGTCAACATAAGGAAATAGGCTTGCTGTACTGATATGTACATTTGGTGCATGTTTAATCTGTGAAAATTAGGTTCCTACTGTGGAGGTTCTATTGTATTATTTTTTAATAGTTGTATGGGAAAATTGGTTGTCTTTTGGATATATAGTAGAACCTCCATAGTTGACAACTTCCCTACGTTGAACACCTCTGTAAATTTACCTAATTTCCACAGACTAAATTTGTACCACATGTACTTCATGGAAATTCCTTTTGTTGACTGCCTCTGTATGTTGACCATAGGTTCCACTGTATTAAATTTCAGGTAATATAATTTTCCATACTCATATAAACCTGGAACTTAAATAAGACATTGTGGGCAGCACCTGTGGCTCAAAGGAGTAGGGCGCTGGCCCCATATACCAGAGGTGGTGGGTTCAAACCCAGCCCCGGCCAAAAACTACCAAAAAAAAAAAAAATAATAAGATAAATAAGACATTGTTACCAGAAGCTTAAGCTGCATAAACGTGGAGAGTGTACGCATATAATTTATAAGTCTATGAGATGAGAGAGAGTGTGAATGATATAAGAGAGAGAAGTGAGATGATATAATTTATCATCACAGTAGATAAAGGAAGGTAAGAAAAGGTTACAATTTAGGGCCTTACATGTTTTCATACGAGGACTTGTAAAGTGAGTATAATTGAAGTGCAAATGAACATTGTGTCCAACAGATGGCAGCAATAAGCCGCTTAGTACCTGACTTTTTAGAGGTTCACCAACTTCAGTTCATTGTTCCTGTGATTAATGACTCTTACGACCCATGAATTTCATCCTTGATCAGTAAGCTTATGTATGTGGGATAGGAAGCCACAAAAATTTTCATTTTGTGCCTTGGAACAAGATCTAAAGGGAAGACAGCCTGAGAAAGGATGGAGAATTAATGGGAGAAGTTGAGAGGAGTGTATTGGGATCTCTTGTGACACTGGATTTATAATTTTTGCTCTGAAGTTCTATGAATGTTTTTCTCTGTATGCATATTTTAAGCATCTTTTGTTAGTTGTGTACCTGTTTAGAATTATTGTGTTTTTGGTGAACTGGACTTTTGGTCATTGTTTAGAGATCTTTTCTATCCCTAATTATGCTTTTCATTTTTAAACCTCTCTTTTTCCCCAGACATTAGTATATCTTACTGGTTTTATTTATACAAGGTGGCCATAAAGTTCATGTGTAATTTTAAATTGCACACGGACCTTATGGCCACCCTGTATATTCTCCCTCCTTTTACTAGCAGCCTTTTTGGTACATAGCAAATAGTTTGCTATTTAAAAAAATACTGATTTGGACAGTGCCTGTGGCTTGGTGAGTAGGGCACCGGATCCACATACTGAGGGTGGTAGGTTCAAACCGGCCCTGGCCAAACTGCAACAAAAAAGTAGCTGGGCACTGCGTCCGGTGCCTGTAGTCCCAGCTACTCGGGAGGCTCAGGCAAGAGAATCGCCTAAGCCCAAGACCTGGAGGTTGTGGTGAGCTGTGACTCCAAGGCACTCTACTACTGAGGACAACAAAGTGAGACTGTCTC